TGTAGCTCGATAACACTCATTGATTTTACGATGACCGCAATTTCTAATCGTTAAAGTTGCCCTTTTTTCCCCCAACCGAGATGTGCCGTGCAATTTTCCGGATCTATAACCTCAAGTGGGCCCTCAGTACGACCGGTATTATTGCCGGCGTGAAAAGACATCGAGTCACACCGACGCATTTCGCTAAGCATAACATTCGAGTGTTTTTGTTTCGTTCCGTAAATATACTACAGTAATCTCCCTACCTATGACTTGACATTTTTACACCCACAGGCTCCCGTGCGAATGAGAAACCGCCCCTCATGCCCGCGCGTGCGCCCCGTAGATCGATGAGAGAATTAACAACACACTGAATTAAGTGAACCTTTGGCTGGAGATTTGCAGGTCTGTCCCCCACAGCTATTTTCTGCTGGAGTCATTCGGTTGTCCATTTCCAGTTGAATAGCTGTCAAGTACAGCCAGAGCAGCTAGGACATGAAGATAATGACCCTATAGATTGACTGAGACCGTGGACCAGCTGGAGACAAGATGAGCTTTAGACAGGGACACACCACCAAATTGTCCTGTCCTACATCCTCTAAAGGTCATGGAAGGTAGGTTTATTTGACAACTTTTTCCCGGTAATGTTCATCACCTCGGTATAGAACCTCAGGACTTAACATCATGCAAGACAGTCCCAAAAGCAGCGTTTGTTCAAATACATATGTTTGTTGTTTTGTTCCCGGGTCGGAGTATTGAATTCTACCTTTTCCGATTACGTTGCCCGTTTAAATTCTCTCCAACCGGGTCCAGAAAACAAGGACGTGGTTGACACTCGTGGCCAAAGGGCAGTTGTGAACACGGAGAGAGATAAGACCCGAATGGCTAATAGCTGGCTATTCAGATTGTAATCCAGCTTGCTGTCATTATCCAGCAGTGCCTGCCTGGAGTCCTTGGCCTCCACAGGAATTTAATCCCTTTAGCTCTGATTATCAAACGTCTTTATCTGGGCCTTTCACTGGCAGGTCCATTTAAGCAGCCGTATCTGCATAGGGTCTGTCAGTTGCGAGCCTGAGACACCATTAATACAAACCTACCAGGGCTAGTTCAAATATAGTATTGTACGTTCGCTGTAATCAAACCGCTCGTTACAAAGGACATGCCGATTCTAAAAGAGTGGGCCTCAAACTGTTATTGGTTGCTCTACATTCCTGTCATACCCGTGAATGTCCTTCTAATCTGGATTTGTCCGGTTAACGTAAGAACCAAAATGTGCTATTTACAAGAGTTCTTTGTCTGTTCCTATAGGACAAATCCCTTTGAATCCCTTGTTGGTAGGCAGTTTTTTGTTTCCATATTTAACTTAATTTTACTTTTTATATTTTACTTTTTTTCACAGTTGAACAAGGTATTATGAAGAAATATATTGTACCTTGTTGGCATGTTTTCTCAACAATAGCTCCTTTTAGTCAACTGTGCACTTTGCAGCATTCGGTTGGAAGATAATTTGTTTAAAAAACACATAAGTAAGCTACATGTAGTTAACTGGCTTGATTTTAGTCACAAATTCTACATTTCATTGCATAGCATGTAACTTCTAAGGTCTATATGCAGTCCATTGGTCCCCAAACATACATATGGAATTATGTTTAATTTGAGATTCAAGAGAAAATATTATGTGCACTGAATTTGGGATAGCTCGCTTTAGCTTTGGACCAGGCAAGCTCTATGCAATCACAATGCAACTAAACAAGCTAGTCCTGTAGCCCACATAAAAACTTGTCGCTCAACTATATTTTGAAAATGCTAATCAGAAGATTACAGATATTTAAACAAAAAAACTAATATTTTCTCACTTATTTCAAACGTCCAGACAAGGCACAAAGAAACAAGAACATTTTACAAAACAAGTTTACTTCAGTTCGAATAAATAACACTAAACACACTTCATGGTCAAATTTGTAATCATTTCACATCTTCAGATCATAACGGATCATAACAAAGTAACCCTGGCATAAGGAACACAAATCTAAAGACATATGGCATTTTCTAGATGATTAGTGAGAGCGTGTGGCACAGCTTTAGGCCGATTCGAGTCACCTCATTGACGTGACAATGTCGTAAGCAAAGCACATTACCACCTCTTCTAATGGCGAGCTAGTGAAATACAGTTTGACGTCTCGTTAGCCGTGCACACGTTTGCGTCCACACAGCATATCTAGGTAGGGTCAGAGACAAACCGGATAGTTCGTTCATTTGCTAATTAGCTATGGCAACAGCTTGGGCAGTGACTATATATAGATTAAATCAGAAACATCCAACAACTTGCTCGACAGTGCAACTCTTTCCATTACGAGACTGAGGAGACAAGCTACCATTTGCGCTCAACATAACGCGGAATGAACTCTCGCTGCCTTTTCACCAACGCTCCTTCTCCAGTTGTTTATGCGAACGTGCGTGACGCATCCAAGCACACCCGCTAACTACCAATCTCCACACATCCAGTTTCTCCATCTATCCAAAGTGCCTGAGCACTTAGGGGGACATTATCATGTTTGGCAAATCACATTCACTTTTTGATGTTATTTATTGCCTTGTGTTTCGCATCCCGGCGACACCTCTCATTTTCTTTAACACGTCCATTACGGTTCGGAGAAATCACCGCCGGCCCCCTCTAATCCATCCCTCCACTTTGTGCCTCCTTTCATCGCATTTGGATGGGCATAATCACATCTGGACGACTAGCTTGAGTTTTGGTACGTCGCCACGCCCAGCCACTCAGTTACACCAGGAGCTAGAGAGGCCACCACACACTGGAGAGTTTGTGGGCTAGGCAGTACACGGTGTTCGTTTCATTTCGCCACTGTGAGGCTTCGATTAAAAGAATCTCCTGAAAGCAGACTTAAGTAAAATCGGAACAAAGTAACGGGTTGATGCAGGAAATCGCAGTTGTTTTTATACATGTAAGCGGCGCGACTGTACGAATCAATTCCCTTCGCCCTGGGGGTTGAAGAGAACGGGTCGCACCTAATGACACTTAGGGTGTTTGACACTAAAACGGCAGCTGCGACCCAACAAGTGGGACTGTGGACGTGGCACGATTCCCCACTCTGATCTCGCCTTCACCACCGAGTCTGCGGTTTGGAGATGGGGAGAGGGCCAAAGAATTCCTGGCGTCTCGTGACGATTATAAATGCCTCTGGTTTCTGTTTCATACTTTTTTATATAGATAGGAGGTTTTTGTGAAGGCTTTGTAGGGCTCAAAGGCGGGGTTTAAGCCCTAAGCCCACTATACAAAGCCATTGGTTTGTCCGAAACATGGTAATCCACAGACTTATCGGTGACTACATCAGGCACTCACGAGTCCAGCTGGAGTGATCAGTGTCGAGTTAAGAGTGCGCGACAGGTTCCCACTGCGCTGTGTGTAATTTAATCAACGGTGCACAGACAGAACACAGTGTGGAGCGAAACGACACACAGCGTTTCTGCGTCGTGAGCGCATGTCCATCTGCGAAGACTGTGGGGACAGATGTAGTTTGCGGAAGAGATAATGCAGGTCGCGGAATTACACCCCTGGCTTTTGCTCCGTCGTTTCAGTTGCAAATCAGCGGAACGGTGCGGGCCTTTTCTTTTACATGAAAGTCAAGGACGAGCGGACACGTCATAATACACAAAGTGAATTTATCCTCTCCAACAGTTGGAGGGCTTTGCAGGTTCCTGAGGTTCGTTTACGGCCTCGTTAAAACTTGACATCGATAGTCAGCCATTCTTGCCGTCTTCTGAAATAGTAATTTTCTGTCGCTTATTGTATATATTTTTTTCTGCTGCTAATCGGTACAGGTCTCCGTCTCTGTGACAGTTGCTGTTACACATTTCTCTGTAACTGTCACGGATTTACCGGCGTAGTGTGGTAAAAGCCATGTGCAGTGTTCAATGATCCGTTTAAATAAGGTTTATTAAATCAAAAGAAACCGTAAACGGCGAAAAACACGTACTTATAGTTTGAATGAAACGAAAGGTGCGCATATAGCGACTTAAAACAATCATAACACCAACAACTGATAATAATACGCGTGACAACCGTAGACTGTATAAAGATATGGACGTAGTATCCGTGACGTCACCCGTAGGGTTCTGAAGACCGTTTTTGAAGCCTAAAGTGGGCGTAGCAGACCGTCGCCATCTTGGCACCGCGTCACTCCCGGATAAACGAAAATAGTCAAAGAGGCGGTACGTGGATGGAGCTGAGGAGCCTGGATGCTGTTTACTGAGTAATTATAGGCTATTTTTTTTACACATATCTTTGAGGACATGTCAAAAAATACTTCCAAATATAGTCAGTGTTAATAAATGTTACGCTATTTATGAAAATGCAGGCATCCGGTAATGCGGGAATCCGCTGGACACACCCTTAATTATGCAGAACTTTAAATATTAATCAACTAAACGGACGAGTTATAAAAAAATTCACCCCCCTCACAGTTGTTATGAAGGGCAAAATTAGCTGTATAGACCAAAGCCAAATAGAGAACCAGACTGTAAACATGTTTTTTTCTGCTGTAAAGTTGTTCATTTTAACATGGGGGAGATACAGATTTGACTCACTTCTGGAGCCAGCCTCAAGCGGCCAGTCAATGAATTGCAGTTTAACTCACTTCCTTATTGGTTTCCGGAGAGAGACCGGAAGGTTGCCACTTGGTAACAACACACTCACCCATATAATCCTGTGACATAGAAATACAATGCTGAACAAGGAGTGACTTGTCCGCTCACCTTTTATAACCCACTAATGATAACACAAAACAGCTGTGAATGACAAAAGGCAAACAAGGAAGTGAATCACCGAATTACTGTGTAGCCACGCCCCCACTCCACTCGTGACAGTAACCTTATCCTTAATATAGACAACTCAAAACGACGCTAGTGACTTAATTCCTGTGGATATATTAACAGCAGCAGATTTATATATACAACCGTTGTGATTGTAATTACAGGAACAATAGAGAGCACTGTTTGTGCACGTACACTGTGGTTCAGTTGGCAGAACGTGGCACTTGCAATGCCAGGGTTGTGGGTTTCATATCCGTTGGGGACCGGCACCAAACGTGTATACCATCTCAACTGTAAGTTGCTCCGTAAAAGAGCATCTGCTACATGGCAAAACAACACAGAACATTTTAACATTAAGCTAGTAAGCCATGCAAGACAAATGTCATTAATCTGAAAACCGCCGTTGGAAGTTCCCTGAAGCTACAACATTTACTGCAGGGCCATGCGCGTTGTAACATAAGCATTTGCTAAAGGCCCCCCTGGGCAACATCATCGTAGAAACTTTTATTTTACCAAACAAGTCAATTAAGAACACCTTTTTATTTTCTATAAAATGTCCGGCAGACGGCTAAAACCTACAGCGGGGAATGTGTATTGGGATTTATGAGAGACAACAAAAATCACAACTGCAGAGCGCCTGCAAAAAAGGCATTCCAACCAAATGTGTGGAAAGACACCACTAAACTGCTAACTGATCTGTAGAGAACACAACATGGCCGCCACATGCATGTTAGCAACATAGCAAGAGACCATGTAACAGAATACAGTAGAACTGAGACGCCGTTCAGACGACAGACAAAGACAACACAACAGGACAACATGACAGAGCTACATCCCATTAACCAGTAACAGGTCCCAGTCAACGTGTTAGTTACTGCGCCTATGAAAGTGGAGCTGCTGACAAAGGTGGTTTCATCCTCAAATTGAAAGGAGGGGCGACCCGGAGATTTATTTGCTTTTAGCATGACGTGAATAGCAGAGCGGCTGCTTTATGCGGAGGAGGGCTGAAAGAAACGTCTCAGATTTGAGGGCTGAGAGGTTTTTGTGCGTAACATAAACCAGCGGATCTGCCTCGGCTTAATCGTGATGGCCGGTTTATGGAGGTGAACAGAGAGTGCAGTGATGTGTCCAGTAAGGAGCGTTGGCTGCAAATCTCATTTCAGAAAGGTGGAGAACATCTAGACGCCCATAAACCGCCTTACAAGTCGACCTTTAAATGTAATTTAAAAAAAATCTATCGGGGATAAGGCCGTCATTTGTGTTGACGGTAATTATGTTAAAATAAACACAAATGTCAAAATAAGGTTGTCTATATGTCTTTATGGTTATAGTTTTCCATTTTCAGCCACTTACAGTGGTTTAATATACCCTTGTCAACTAAAATCATAGCCCAGCCTGGGTTTTGTAAATTAGCCACAGATTAGTAACTGAGCGGACGCGACGGCACCTTGACCAAGGAGTCGGCCTTAAAGCCCTAAATCATAGCAACATTATTGTAAAATTCAGTGGTCACCAGGCTATGCCAGGGGAGATACAAATATGAATATCCTCTTTCATATGCCAATGCCACCTATCTGTGCTCTGCTGATACACACACACACACACCATATTAACGACAGCTCCGATAGAAATCCAATTATGTTGCTAGGAAAACCTCTGCAAACCCTCTCAAATCCTACGGACAGTCAACGGCATTCGGGGTAGATGACTAAAAACGAAATAAGACGTTAATATGATGTGCTAGCTGTGATGTTTCTACTGTGTATTCAGCTTTTTGCGGGCAAGCAAACTCTCTTTGGCGTTCTACATTTACATGTCCCAGATTTGTTACAACAAAACAAACACAAACCCAGTGTGCTCTAGATATTCACAGCAAACCGGCACACCTCATTTATCATGAAGGAAGGGATGTGTTTCGATGTGCTAATATATTCCTCCTCTCCAGGTGAAATCAGACAGCATTCACACTACTGGGCTAGATTGGCTGGTGGAATTGTAATGAACCATGCACTCTCCCCTTTTGGCGTTTGCCAGAAAGTTTGGGGATTTTGCGTAGAACCCTTTCTACCGATTGTCCTATGTAGAACCCAGAAAATGATCGGGTCAGAAATCGGAAAGGGTTTTACGGGGACACAAAAATGTTTTTCAAATGGGCACAGCTGAACGCTTTTGAAAACACAAATGTACGATGTTTCTGTGCTCACGTGAAGGAGAAAGCTGTTTGTCGCAGCATGTTGACATCGATTTCACACACACACGCATGTGTCTACGTTTCCGGTTGTTCATGTTTCTCTCGTTCGGAACACAGGCAGAGCGTGGCGTGAAGGGAATATTCCGCCGTCAGTCAATGTGTCTATCTGCAAGGGCGACGTAAGAAGACGGAACCAACTGTGGTCGTAGAACGTGTTGGATTCTGCTCTATGTCCTCAACGCTTTGATTGAAAACAGCATGAATCCTTTCTGTACGCCTCTGAAGAGTTCAATTTGGAGTTCGGGTTTCATTTCTATGTAAAAAATATTTCCGGCATCCAGTATGTGGCCTGAATTAAACCTTTGCTTTCTTTTTAGAATATTCCCCCCACCTCTGACTTCCCCCATTATACTCTTGTACACCGTGTTGAGATATCCAATTGTACATATGACCCTGTGTCAACTCCCAATGGGCTTGTGAAAGTTGAAGACCCGCGCACGACTTCTTCCAAAGCATCTGTGCCAAGGAATTCTGTTTTTTTCTTCACATTGCATTGCATCTGCAAGCAAAACGTCCGTCAGACGTCAGTGCTAATTATGTCGTTCTCGTATCCATAATAAATATGGCCGTGCTGATCTCGTCGCACTCGTATCCATAATAAATATGGCCGTGCTGATCTCGTCGCACTCGTATCCATAATAAATATGGCCGTGCTGATCTCGTCGCACTCGTATCCATAATAAATATGGCCGTGCTGATCTCGTCGCACTCGTATCCATAATAAATATGGCCGTGCTGATCTCGTCGCACTCGTATCCATAATAAATATGGCCGTGCTGATCTCGTCGCACTCGTATCCATAATAAATATGGCCGTGCTGATCTCGTCGTACTCGTATCCATAATAAATATGGTCGTGCTGATCTCGTCGCACTCGTATCCATAATAAATATGGCCGTGCTGATCTCGTCGTACTCGTATCCATAATAAATATGGCCGTGCTGATCTCGTCGTACTCGTATCCGTAACAGATGGGGTCATGCTGATCTTGCCATACTCGTATCTAAACTGTATCCATTTGATCCCGTTTAGGGATGTTTTGTCAGGATCGTGAAACCCGTAAGTACACTTTGTATCAGGTTGAAGCCTGTAACTTTAGTGTGCATTACTGCGCTCTATCACTCAGAATGCTTCCCAGGGCCTCTGAGTCCCTCATCTGAAAGCCGTTGCACGTTGTTCAACAGAAATTAATGATGCATATTTTCACCTAATTAATAAATATATGACCCTAAATAATGCATGACTGGTTAATGGTGTCTGCATATACTGCGGACCAAGATGAACATGACGGCCCGCATTTGTCGCTTCTAATAGTTTAAAATCTTTATTTTCCCGAAACATATGCCACAACTTCTGTACAATCAAATGTAAAACATATTTATTAGCATTGATTTCTAATGATCGCTCTGTACCATTGTCTTGGCAAGGCTTAATAAATACAGAAGCAAACAAGCTTCTGTACAGGTCACGCTATAACAACATGTTAGCAGCGAATGAAATACGTCACAGTAAGCAGGCATGCAACCATCTATGCAATCGAAAACGTGGAAAAACAATGCAATCATCTCAACGAAGTTGACCGAAAATACGACCAGATCGAGAGCCATAACAAGCCTGGTTCCTACCTGTAGTATTGAGGGAGAAGGAGAAACATGCCTCCAGCGTTCAAAGAGAACGGGGCCATGTGTGACTCCAGTAGATGATGGAGGGTTTATGCTACCTTTTCTAACACTATTGTGGCAGCAGAACATACATCACAACCATTTCGTTACAGACTTGGAAACCGGCCTATTATTATTTTAGAATAAGAGTGTCATATTTTTAAGGATCAACAATAATAACAGAAATAACTGTATCATAGTCGTGTTTCTTTTGATACTCGTTATGTCAGAGTGCCCGGGACACTAATAATAATGAGTGAAAGAAAACCTGCTGACAACGCCGCCCCTCTTCACAGACAATGCCCATCCAGTATGCATCATTCCATTAAGATCCCGGCCACACGTCAGCCTGCGGATCAGCAATGGCTCAAGCTGAGAGTGTGCTGGGGAATTTGGCACTAATACGCAATGCTTTCGACCGCCGTGCCACCTGGGAGCATAAAGTTAATGTGTCTTAACAGGGCTGGCACCAAGTGCATTTCAATAATTAAACTAGCGTCGACGGTATTTCAGTAAAAAGAGACATAAATCACGGAGTGCATTTAATATCAATAATAACCGCAGCCAATAATCATATGGCTGCTTAGAGCCTCACAGACTAAAACGCACATGTGGTACGATCTAGACAACTTAAACAGCGCGTAGCTTCAGGACACGAATGAAATGCAAATGTAGCGATGATCTGTAGGAATGTTCTGTGATGACGCATTTCACATGATCGGTAATGCGGAGGTGATCCATTCAAGAAATCTAATCATTACAGTAATTTCTCGATGCCGGTAAACAATTCTCAACAACGTGTTTGATTTTGCGGCAGCCTGTTGCAAGCCATTCATTTATCTGCAGTGTTTTTATTTAACTCTTAAAGAGCAGTTGCTTTTAGCTATGTTATGTACTGGGATTTGGATACCACTCAGAGGTCATCCTCTTCAGTGTACCCTGCCCGGTAGATAAGTCAGTATTAACCGAGGCATATAGAGGGTACATGATGTTCCAAACATGAGGAGCTGACAGTGACTCGCACTGAAACACCATCAGTAGCACTATAACCTCAGGATAGTGCAAAACGCAACCGTGCAAATGTGCTCTCAAAAGTCAAAAACGCGCTCAGGGAACATATGCGCGACGGACAGCAAGAGACATTCTACTTCCGTGTAATATACACTTCACACGCGGCTCCTCCTTGCTTCTAGACACATGCTTTTAGCGCACAAGCGCCACGGTATCATACCGTATGCAATAGACTGCGGTCAACGTATGCCAACCTCACAGTTACGTATAGGGCCGGCCGCGGTTATTCCCCGTAATCACATTGTTTTCCGGACGAAAGTGGACAGCGGTTTTCAATTGCTCT